GCTATCTCCAATTCTAATACTTGAATTATAGATTTTAAAGCTAACAAACATATGACAGACTCTTTTAAAGACTTCATAATCTATTTTTTTTTATATTAAAAGAAAAAATATATGCATAGCAGATGAATTATACAACCCTTTATCTGGAACATATTCCATTAGTTTTACTCCCACCATTACTCCGTGTTTAGTCCTTTATGTATTTACTTTTCCTGACAGTTTTTTATCCATTAGTATCATCATTAGAGATTTTAATTATAAAATTGAATTTTTTTTTATTATTGTATCATTCAAGATCTTCAAATAGAAAAGATGATTAATACTAATAGATTGCAGGGTGACTTATATGTTTTGAATAAAAGTCAAAATGTAATTGATAATCAAACTGCCTTCGAAAATACGAAAGTCAATAAGGAAATTCTACAATTGCATCGACGGTTGAGACATCATTCTTTCTTTACTCTAGAAAAATTGTATCCCAATTTATTTAACAAAACTTTAATAGATTCTTTATTTTGTGATGTGTGTGAGATAGTTAAATATAGAAGGTGTTATTGTTATGTAAGCAACTGTAGAAGTTCTATTCTTTTTATGACTATTTACTATGATGTTTGGGGACTTACTTGAAATATATCTTTATGTTATCATAAATAGTTTGTTACTTTTATTGACTGTTGTACTAAATTAACATGAATTTATCTGTTGAAAGTAAAAAATGATGTGTTCTTATGCTTTCAGTCATTTCATAAAATTATATGTACATAGTTCGATACTAAAGTTAAAATTTTAAGAGTATACAATAGTATAAAATATATGAATTGTGGATTCCGTATCTACTTGAAGTTAATAAGATAATCCATTAGAGTAGTTGTGTCTACTCCAGTGAACAAAATAGTATTGCTGGAAGGAAAAACAGACAAATATTAGAGTTTAACTTGATCTCTTATATTCATCATAAATCTATCAAAAAGTTACTGGAGAGATGCAATTCTTTTAGCTACTTATTTTATCAACAGAATGCTTTTGAAAACTCTTGATTTTAAAAGTATTTTGGAGGTTTTGAAAATAAAAATTCCTATACTGTTCTCCCAAAGGTGTTTGGATATTTTTGTTTTGTCCATACTAGAAATATGAGTAAGTTGGAACCCATAGATTTTAAGTGTGTATTTGTTGGATATTCCTCTACTCAAAATATTACAAGTGTTATCATCCTTCATTTATAAGATACTTTATAACTACGGATGTTATTTTTAGAGAATCTGAGTCTTATTTCGAGTTCAAGTCCAACACCTCTTTTGGAAGAGAATGAGAAGAAAAAT